GAAGAATATATATATATATATATATATGTACACACACACACACACACGTTATTTTATAATGAGCAAATACTTAAAATAAGTTATTTGCAGTGATTTTTAAGAACATTCTTTTCAAGATTTGAGTTCTTCTTAAGTTTTGTCTTAAGAAAAAATTTTTAGGTATACAAAATATTCTTAGTTCGAAAATAAGAAGAAAACGACAGTTAAGAAGAATTTTATTCTTCTATTTTGTGAATCTGGCCCTTGTATGCGCCCAGTTATTCTGCAAAAAAAAGACAGAGAAAGTAAGATATAATCTTCTGTTTCTTAATTAGTTGAATTTTTTCAACAACAAAAACATACATCAGATTCTGATCTCTTCTTAGTTTGATGAAATTAAGTTATTTTACCTTACATAAAGAGTTTTGGAGTCAGAGCTGAGTGTTTGGACTTACTGGAAAGTTTTTGGAGTCAAAGTTAAGTTGTTGGAGTCTGGGATGAGTTTTCGTAGCCGTGCATATTGTTTAGAGCCAGGGACAGATTGTTTGGAGTCAAGGGAAGACTGTTTGGACTCCGTAACGGATGGTTTTGGTTCAGAAGCAGATTGGTTGGAGTCAGGGACAGAGCAGTATTAGGTTTTCAGTCTCATGCGGTGGTTCCCTCGGCGCCGTCATCCTCTCAGTGCTCCTGCTGCTGCTGCTGGGATCTTTTCTCTGGGGTCTGTCAGCAGGTGACGAGCGTATAATGATGCTGCCGCAGCGTCACTGTAATTACAGCCGTGAGAGCAGGGCCGAGTCAAGGGGAAAGAGGAGGAGGAGGAGGAGGAGGCAGCGATGCAGGAACGACGAGCACTTACTCCTCCACAAGTGTTTACAACAGAAACGTTTGGGAATTTCTCTCTCTTTTTTTCTTTTTTCTCACCAGCTCCAGATGGTGTGTGACTCTGAGAGGACATGAGTGCCATGCTGATCAATGTGTGTGTGTGTGTGTGTGTGTGTGAGTGTGTGTGAAGGCCGTTCTTCGGTTGTAAACACAGAATGAGTGACTAAGGGTCAATGACAGACACTTGCTGCCTGTTGCTCTGGATCACACTGTGTTGCCAGATCACCTGTCTGTTGAATCCCAAAACAGTGGTGGAAAAGAGATGAATTCTGCTTTGATTCTGGAGCAAATTGCATGGTTTTAATGGGAATTAAAGAAATGTGTTGGGAAAATCCCTTTTTGAGCCTCTTTTCATTTCCTAAAAAAAAAAACAGGGATTTTATTTAGAACTTAGGTGACTAACTTTCCATTGCTCAACTTTGCAATTTTTCTGATACAAAATTGAAATAAAATGTTTGTAGGGCTGCACAAGCTGACCAAACAAATATGTGATAATATATCAATATAAAATAATAATAATAACTGTGAAATTATTATTATTATAAACTAGAAAATCATTAAAAATGATTATTGTAACATTTAACTGTAAAAATATCAATAAAATTATAATAATTGTATTGCGAAATAAAAATTTTCCTGAAAAATGTTATTGACAAAAATGAAATAATTAAAAATATTAAATTCATATAATAAAGAAAATGAGATATTTCTATGGTAATATTTTACAGTAAAATAAAAAAAACTGAGTATTTAAGAAAAAATTTAGTATTTCAGATTATATAATAGTAATAATAACATTTATTAATTAAATTTGTTTGAGTTTTTTTTTTATTATCAATCATGGTAAGCAGTATCACCATTTCTGTTCATTTTAATTAATCGTACAGGCCTTGTGTAATTGATGCTGTATTTATTTTATCATTCATATACTGCTACAAATTATTCAACTATCCTCAACCAATGGATTTGGTCGGGGGCAGGGCTATCTGCTGGCTGACCAATAGCAGGTGGAGACTGTTCAGGATATTTCTATGGTAATATTTTACAGTAAAATAAAAAAAACTGAGTATTTAAGAAAAAATTGAGTATTTCAGATTATATAATAGTAATAATAACATTTATTAATTAAATTTGTTTGAGTTTTTTTTTATTATCAATCATGGTAAGCAGTATCACCATTTCTGTTCATTTTAATTAATCGTACAGGCCTTGTGTAATTGATGCTGTATTTATTTTATCATTCATATACTGCTACAAATTATTCAACTATCCTCAACCAATGGATTTGGTCGGGGGCAGGGCTATCTGCTGGCTGACCAATAGCAGGTGGAGACTGTTCAGTATTGTTTGAAAACAGTCATTATTTTTGCAGTTTTATATGGTGATGCTCATGAGACAGAAATTACACACTTCAGCTTTAACTGACTCTTAAATGACTCTTAAATGACACGCCCTCAACTCGGAAAGCCAAAGCTTCCCAGAGTTTCCCACTGGTAATTACGACAGTGTGAATACATAAATACAGTACGACGCAGAAGCTGACACACAACACCTGAGCGGCTGTCAAGAGTGTGTGCCGCGCTGCCCCGTGAACCGGGAGCATGCTGGGAAAATAGCTGCCTGTCAGGTGTTAGCTGCCAGTGTGAAGTGCGATTACTTGCCTAAAAAACCGACAGCAAGAAATAGTTAGCTTGCCACCTTCGCTGTCAGAAGATGCTGTGACCGCATCTCCATGGTAACGCTGACGGAGAACGATCCATCACAGCCGGGTGGCGCGGAGACTGTCTGTCAGATGGAGATCTCTCCCGCTCGCTCTCTGTCTTCATGACACCTGTAAGTGATGCAGGTTAAGTCGCTCTAAGCAGACCTCTGTTGACAGTGTAAACACACACAGCAGGAAGATCGGCCTTATTGTGACACAGGAGTGGCAGGAAATGCCGCTGGATTTACATCATATGCAAAAAGAAACTCTTTAGTTGGCTTTATGTTCCATTTCTCAATGAAAAACGCGGAAATGCACCTCAAAGTGGACTTTTTTGTTTTATTCAGACAGGGAAACTTCGAGGCCTGAACCTGTAGGCTTTACATACTGGAGGACACCTGAAAAAACACCATCCATCCTCCATCAGGTGAGAGACTAACACTAACACTGTTCTGAAAACACTAGTTTGCTTTATATAGGAACTAATTAACTGCACCAGAGTTTGTTATGTTTTGTTCTCCGTGTTTTAAAGGGGTCATATGATGCAATTTCGTTAAATCTGTAAAACCTAACATGTTGCTACCATATTTTTAACGGTGAAGTTCTGGTTACCACAGCTGCCGGTATTTTACCATAAATGTCACAGATTTTTTTTACAGTGTACCTAAAACGGCTCGTTCGAACACGCCCCCACATGTCTACTTCACGATGTGGGAAGATTTGCATAACGCCGCCCACATGTT